ATTTATTTATTTATTTAATCACTTTCACCAGAGTATGGTGAGGGTCGCACAACAGAGCGAGGCTCCAAATTAAGTGCGCCCAATATCCCACCCATCCCACCCCAGGGGAGGACATCCATCACACAGTAATCTCGTGTGTGGGAAATTAACGTCTCCTACCCCAACCCTGCAGGAGACGGGACCTCCATTTATTCGTCCCTATCCGAGAAGACTAGAATATCTAACCATTTCTTGATGTTATAGAAAGGTAGCAAATTCTTCTCAATTATTTTAAGACCCTGAGTGTTGGTCCGGCCGGGGCTCGAACCCTCGACCTCCCGCACAACAGTCCAGCGGTCTATCCATCGAGCTAACCGGGAGGCGGTCTTGTAGGGGGATGAGATAAATTTTAATCGTGACACAACCAAAATCATCCTCCAGCTCTCCCCTCCCTGAGTGTTGGTCCGGCCGGGGCTCGAACCCTCGACCTCCCGCACAACAGTCCAGCGGTCTATCCATTGAGCTAACCGGGAGGCGGTCTTGTAGGGGGATGAGATAAATTTTATCGTGACACAACCAAAATCATCCCATCCTCCAGCTCTCCCCTCCTCCCCCCCCTTCCCAGGCGATAAAAAAAAATTACCGGTCCCATAATGACTTTGTTCTACTGAAATCGTAGTCTCCTTCGCAGTTGTTTTTAGGAATATCACGGAATGCTCTTCTGCTGTCGTGGGGAAGGGGGTGGGGGAAGAGGGAGTACTGCGTGACACCACTAGAATATTAATCCGGACGGAAAGGAGGAGACGACCAGATCCATGCTCTTCCATTTCCATTTCGTTTAATGTCCAATCCTTACGTGCCTAGTCTTTCAATGAAAACCCTTTCAATTTTTTTTAAGATCACCGTATCCTGTCATTCATCAACTGGTACCAATTAACATGCTTCATTTCTAACAAAAGAAAAAACAGAGAGAACACAAGGGGCACGCGGAGTTTCTCAAACACTCCACCACGAGGGGTCTCCCTTTTGATTGACAAGAGATTTACCGAGAGTTGACATCAAGTGTTATCCGGAATGTTTCACGCGTTTTGACAGCTTCCCTGCTACCGGGCCCCGCTGACAAAAAAAGCGCAATAACTTAAAAACAAAAGAGAGAATACAGAGGTCTACAGCGGCTAACCTGTATAATAATTGTTTCCATAGGGTTTCCCGAAGAAATGTTTCAATTCGTGCTCCGCAACAGCTAATTGTCGTCTTTCGTGTAACTTTAGTTTTCCCACATCCAAGCCACCTTTTATCTCCAGTAGTTCTTCATAGAGTCTCATTGTTTGGTCAGTTAACTTTTTGATTGCTTGCGGCTCTGGGTTGTAAGGTTCGAATTTTTCTTTCGTGAGGTAACTTCTGTAAGGTGTAAAGTGCTTTCGTTCTTCTTTCACCTTAATAAAAAATGCCTCTAAACCTGCGAGACCGGAGAGAAAAAGCACCGAGAAGCACACTTAACTGATTGCAACGTCGTTATATCGAAAAAACAAAACAAAACAAGCAAAAAAATTTAAAAATTAATATTTTTCGTTCAAAGCCGGGATCTTTTTAGGCAATGAGAAATAAGAACATGCACAAAAATAGTGTTTACCGTGTATAACAAGTGGAATTATTTTTGCACTTTTTCAGGCGAACTGAGGAGGAGTGTTAAAAAATAAGTTTCAATTTTTTTTTTCGCACTCCTCGCCTCGCAATAGCCTTTGTTCGCCTGAAAAACGCAAAATAAATTACACTTCTTTTGCAGGATATAATTACATACGTTCCTCTGAACACGCAGTCAAAACAGTTATTTGTCTTGGGTTTCCATGCCTGTCGAGAGCTCTTACGCCCCAGGGGCTCAGTTAAGGCTACGTAAAGACGAAAAGAGTCCTCTATATTTCTTTAAAAAAACTGCACAACGTCATAATCGTGTTGTCTAAAACACACCTATTGACAAATGATAGCGCATATAGTAGTATTTCATATTTGTAGTTGATTATCCAATACGGAAATTCCTCTGAATAGAGAACCAGTCTTTATTATTATGAGATTAACAACAGTAGCTTTTAATTCGTAGACAACTTTCTGGTTTCCTTACGAGTTAGTCATTATTCTTTTTCCGTGGAATATACAGATGTTTGCAAAGTTTGCCAAAAGCGATACGGGATATGTTTTTTGTTAAGAACAAATTTAATTTGTAAGACTGAAGTAATGTTGATGGCGATATTAATGAGACTGCCAAATAACATTGACATATTTATTTTAAGGATGACTTGAATGTAAGGTTGCCATTGATGCGCAATAAATGTTGTTGAACAGTTGTGATAATAGTGAAGTCAGAAACAAAACAAATAATTTTTATCAGATAGAATCAAATCAAATATTTTACTTAAATCGATTAAGTTATTCACGATTTTTAAACAATAAAACTGCTAAGTAGTCAAAGTCATTTAGATAATGACAACATTAAAGATGTTTTGTTTTTAAGAAAGATTCCTCACTGCTTTTCAGAAAAATGGAAAAAGCCGATTATCCCAGAAAAAATAGTCTGTCACCAGAACCATGTTCTGAGACGTAAGAAGAAGAAAAAATAATTAGCAAAAAGCAAACAAAAATTCCTTATACGAGAATCATGCGCTGGCTGTCGTGCACATCAATGCGATGGACGACTAAATAGTTTACAATGGTTGACTGGTAATAGCGGCAAAGTATTTTAATTTAAGACATCTGTTACAGAGATGACAGTTACCTGCAAGTTGAGCTTCTGACGAAAACGCACAGCGACTCTCTGCAATTGTCTCGTTTTCGCCGAATGTGGAGTTAACTTTCCTGGTGATTGTTTGATTGAGGGCAGAGTTCTTTTTCGTCTCTGATGATCGTGTTTGAGACAAAGTTATCAGCACTATTCCAGCTACAAGGAAGCTAAATCCCAACACGAAAACAAAGGCAGCTAAATGAAAGATGGAAACCTTCGACTGTCGTCGATTCATCCGCTCTGATGAGGCCTTGCTTGAGGAATCATGGCCCAGGGAAGACACAAAGTTTAATTCGTGATCATCCATCGTTTAGCGTTGAGGATATATATTTCTGTCGATTCTGTTAGAAGTACAGCACAAAAGACCTGCTTAGACAGTAACGCAAATGGCATTAAATTTGATACAGGATTATGTTCATTAGTGTTGATGTAACTTATGACAGACATCGATGCATTTTGCGCGTTAGAACGCGCATTGCGGATGGCGCTCAAAGGAAATGTTCCAAACTTTAGTTGCGTAAACTCCCACGGAAATCTTTCATTAACCCAAAAATCCTTTTACTCTGGGAAGTTTGATCATTTCTTAGGGCCGGCGCACTTTCATTTGTTCTGGAATCTTTGCTAGCATCCATAGCCGGCACAGTTTACAATTGCAAGGTTTTATTTCTATTGATTTCGCCACAATTGCAATCCAACCATTATTGCATATATATGTTAAAAATCTGACGTCTAATCCTTAAAATAATTCTTATAAACAAAGGAAAGCCTTAAATATTGTGTTCTTAAAATTTACATTTTTATCTTAGATCTTTTATCTACCAGGAAATACTTATTACAATTTACCTGATAAAAATATTTAGAACGGAAGTTAATTAAAATTTTGGCTTCGCGAATGAAGTCCTCTTAATAAAATCGTTATTCAGTTCTATTAGGTGTCACCTTTGGAAGGCTATATTGACAAACTCAATCCTACCTACTAACGGTGAGAGCAGTGCGACGCATTTTCATTATCAAGTTTATTTCGCACTCGTAGTCACGGGAAAAGAACACACTAGACACGAAGAGTGCAATCACTTCATTCTTGTTTGGCTCATAGAAAGTAAATGTACGTTCTTGTTAGAGAATAAATTATCTCGAAAGCTGTTGTAAGGCGGGAAGAATTTCTTCATCCCAATAAGGCTTTACTCAATAATATGTTTTTTCCTCTTCAGAGTGGTTTCATGATCTGCTGTGACGTCTGAATCTGGTGACGCACCTTTTCGTATTTCAATCTGGAAAAAATTAAAATCATCCACAAAATATATGCGCACAATAGGCGTAAATCTATGTCTTTCAAAATTCTCTGTTTTCCACCTGGCACCACTCAACGATCTTCAGTCGTGTAGAAAAAAGTTCTTTGCGCACTGCAGTTTTTTTAAAAAACGCTACATATTTTCTGAAGCAAAAGAATGTTTAAAAGTGAAAGTAAGTTTCTTTACATATTGATACAGTTAGCGTAAAATAAGGGTAAGTGTTCGCGAATGTCTCAGCTTTCAGTCAAGAGAATACGGTTTATATTATCTTGCATGTAATCTTTGGACGAAATCTTGGTTTATCCATTTTGGACTTTTTTTTGTGTCTCGGGTTCTTCACTGTAAACGTTGCATTTCCCTTTGGGAAACCATCTCTCTGTTTGTGTCTGTCAATTTAAAAAAAAAACAAAACTGAAATGTCTCCTTTTATTATTATTAACATTTTGCCGATCTTTTGTGGTGTTGTTTTTGTTTTTGCTTTTTTTGTCGTATTTTGTTTATTTTTCCAGTTTCACTCCTCGCTGATGTTTTTTTTGGCCCCTTTTTCCAGGTTAACTTTTTACGTTCCAAGTTAAATTTTGAGGCTTGTTACCATCCACTACTACACCCCTCCACTCCAAGGTTGTAGATTTCCAAGTACACGTGGCAACCGAACGCGCAAGCGCAATTCATTTCCATTGTAACATGGCGGACGGACCGACGTCGAAATATCTTCTTCAAACAAATAGTCAATTAGTGCGTCTTTGACACAAATTAATTCGTTAGATATTCTTTCTACGAAAGATATCATTATGAAAAATCTCCGTTTCTTGGTACTGGTTTTATGTAGCTTCCCACTGATCGCAAATTGCAGAACGTTGCGCGGTGTTTTCAGCTCTCGTTCGGCCCGACTGTATCAGGGTCAGTATCTGACCAAGTTCTGCTTTTACGGTAAGTTTTAATTCTGCTGGATATGAAGCCTTTTCTTTTCATTAATCACCTTCGGTGGCAAGGAAATTAGACTTAAAAAGATATTTGTTTATGGTTCGGTATGTGCGTGCTGCTGGAATACGGCTCCTTTGGAAATTTTCGTAAACAGCTGATTTAGGTGGTTCGACCGCAACTTAGTTCTCGACGTATTGCTATTTTCTGTGAATGTTGTTTAAGCTCAGCTTTTTTTTAGTTGATTTGGTCAAAATTTTTCAATATTCAGAGTTTCCTTAGAAAATGGGCGCAGAAAGAATGAACCATGATGAGCAGCTAAGTGAGGCTGTGTTTCTCTGTCAGTCTTGAAACACAAGTGACTCCTTTGTGTTTGAGTAATTCTGGTGTAGAGTCAAAAAATAGTATGGGATCGATTTGGTTTTACTTCACTTGCTACTCTGTCTAATAAGTTGAGAAATCTTGCACCTTCTCAACCAAACAAATGCAAAACAGGAACCAATCACACCTTGGCTGCTTGTATTTCTTGCACTTAGCACCAATTTCCTGTTTTTACTTGACGTCTTATTTGTTCTGTGGGCACAAAGCTTTGTTGTAATTGACTGATGTTATTACTCCAGTTTTTGTTTAGTAGCACACAGATGAGGTGCACTCTATTAGATTGCTTGTTGTTGGGTACATTTAAGAAATATACCCCTTCAGGCAGCTGTTATGACTGCAGAAAATGTCTATGGTTAGAGGTTTGTCCAGAAAATGGATCTTTGGCCCAGAGGCAAAGCTTCGAGGGAAATTGTGAAATTTTGAAGACAATCTCTCTACCAAGGCTGTTATCAGCTGACATATCAGCAAACCAGAAAAGGGTTCATTTATTTTGTAACTCTCATTAATATTCACATCTTATAAAAACCACTTGTAAAAGGCTAATGTTGATCTAATGGCAGATGTGTATTTGTAACCAGCCTTTTGCTATCGTTATCACT